ATTGCACTGGCTATGATCGAGATTCAGATATGTATGTGCGTGTGTGTCTCTGTGTGTATGTGTGTGTGTATACATGTGTCGTTTAACCACACTAGGACCGTATAACTATAGACCAACATCCGGTGACACAGAATGCCACCATTCGGATGAGGCTTACCCGGGCACAAACATACTGCAAGTGCCGATTGGTCTATAAAAAATATAGGTCTGGACTTCTAGTAATTTCCCTTTGTCTCTAGGTAGTGAGATCGGACGCCCGTGTGCATTGCCATACACGTAAAAAATTCATTGGCAGTTGGAAATCGAAAAGAGTAGCCTAACGGCGCCACCCGGGAAGATTTTGAATTGAAAATCTACCCAAAGTATTTCAGGATCATCACCGGTGCTGCAGAGCCTGTGCACTGTGGTTAGCTTCTTGGGACTCAGACTTGAGTTAAAAGACGAACGGAGCACTTTTGGGTTTCTATCTGTGTGTCATGATGTTTGATTCGTTGTTCAAACTTCAAACAGATCGGAATATAATAACTTAGTGAGTTTACTGTTGGAATAAAATTATCTTAAACATTATTACCATGAAAGACAGCGACTTCAACTATACCACACACATAACTCAAAGCTGTTAAAGGTTAGGTTAGGTTAGTTGCGTATCCTTTACAGGAAATTGCAGAACCAACCCCAAAAGCCACTGGCTGTTGTGTGGTTTTTCTAGGCAATTTACGTCCAGTAGTTTGCCATTGCTTTTTGGACGGTCGACTTTCTTAATACCACTGTCGAAACCAACGCAAGGCGCATTGCCCGCAGTTGGGATCGAACCCGGCATCCCGGCATTACGAAGCGTTCGCATCGACTTAGCCACAGAGCCGACAAGCTGTTAAAGATATCCCCTAGAACCAACAACTAAATTTCTACAGGGGACAGACAATACAAATGGCTGCCCACTCACCTTGACTGTAATGCTTCCCCTTGGGGATATGCGAAATGTGCCAAACTGGTCCAGTAGTTCTTTCGTAGAGGCACTGACGTGGATCATCATAGCTGCGTGGAAAGGAAATAATTCAATGAACAGGGGTATTCATGTTGTTATGAGTGCGCTTGACTGCCTGTTAGTTGTTGTTCTAAAGTTCATTCATTTGTTCAAAACTTTTTGCGAAGAGCAAAATGTATTAGGAGAACCAGCGCACTTTGACGCACTGTCACTTCTTCTTACTGTCTGTATATTCCAAGGGCACGGAATAGGAGGGTTCAAGGCTTTTGAGTCATAGTACCACCGCCCTTACCAGACAAAACTGTAGGGAGGACTCAGCCTACCGCCCCCCCCCCCCCCAAACTGACCCGCAACATAATTATTTAGAGAGCTAAATAATCCTTCTAGCTACATAGAATTTATTTTTCTAAGCTTTTATTTACAAATGTCATAGTATTTCAAATCATCATCATCATGTAGCAGGTACTTTGCTCGCATCATGGTCTGCCTGAAAGAAACACGGTTTCTCGCCAGCTCTCCCGCCTCATGTACTTTCATACTCATGAGGTCACTTATATCCTGTGCCCATTTTTATGTCGGTCGGCCCCTGCTCTCCTGCCTGTTACCATGCCTTCTGCTATAATTTTTTCCAATCCGTTGTTGCGCTCGATTTGACCAAAATACTTCAGCTTCTGAGACAGGATGCTGTTTATTAGCCAATCTTCCTTGATGTTCAGATCTTTCAAGATGTCAGTATTTCTCCTCTTCTTTGTCCAAGATCTTCTGAGAATCTTTCTATACTAGTATTATAGTTATTTGCCATTCATTACGTTATTATTATTATTTTGGCTATTCTCCGAACTTCGGGCACTAAAGATGACGGCGGCACAATATCCTTTCGAGCCACAGTCACGTGACAATTGAGCACTTCCGGCGACTTAATTTGCTGTTCTCCGGCAGTTTTCCGGCGACTACCGCCACGTGTCCCAGACGCCGCTTACGCGGCGTGTATAAGGGCTAAACTAGATGGCTAGAACCCATGCATCATCGCAGCCTGACAGCCAAGCCGCACACAGCTCTCGCTCGCTCGCTCGCTCTACCGCCCGATACAGCCACGTGTGTCTCTCGTTAGCTTGCTAACTATCCATTCGTAGCCAGATTATCAATAGCTAGATACTGGTCAGAACCCGCTTGATATTCGGCTGAGTTTTGGCTCGACTAAGCTATTGTTATTCGTCTGCGGGTGGGTTATTAGCGGCCCGAGAGCACATCATTGTTGAAGAGCCAGTCATACCAGCCAGTTTTTTGAACGATTGTCTCGAGAACTGCACGCTTGGGTGTCCTTTTCAGGATACTCTAACAAGCCTTGCCAGACTCTACAGGGACCGAGCAATCAATTGCCGCCCGTCTTACCAGCCTCAGCCACACGAAACCATGGCCCGTGGTAAGAAGAATCCGGTCCAGCGCCGGGACACCAGGGCGACCTCAGCCAACAAAGAGGAAGCACCTGTCGCCGCACCAGACCTGATGATGCCAGAACCGGTCGACGACCCGGATGAGACACCAGCCCAGACACCGCCAGCCCTGGATGTAGGCCCTATCGAGGCACCAGCCTACTTAGAAGCCGCCCTAGTCGTGGCGCAGGGAGCCACCAACATCCGCCCACACAGGCAGCAACAGCGACCGGGTACCCACTGTACTGAGATTCTGCAGTGCTCACGCTGCAACAAGGCGTGGCATACTGCCGCGACTTGCCGCAACAACCCATCATGCAGGTACTGCTCACAGGCACATGACTTTAAGGAATGCCCTCTGGCGAAGGAGGACCCGGACTTCAAGAGACCAAACCCAAGAAGACGGTGTTCAAACTGTACAGGGGCCCACAGCGCGAGGTACATGGGCTGCCCGTACCTGAAAGAGATCAAGTTGGCGCTAGCAGCTGACCGATTGAGCCACCAGCAGAGGTACGTGGCACCCAGACCAAGCAGCACAAAATGCCGACCTGCCTGCCCAGCCAAAAGCAGGACGCCAGAGAAGGATGCTACCACCAGAGACCCTGAACTTGCGAACATAATCACGGAACTAAAGGCAGAGCTCCAGAAACAGAAAACCATCGCTGCTGCTGAAAAGGCAGAAACGCACGAAATTATCTCCCTGTTGCTAGGAGAAATTAAACACCTGAAAGACGACAGGATAGCGTTTACTGCACAGCTAAGCGAAAACCAGAAAGAAGCCACAGCAACCAAAGAAAGCGTCAGCAATTTAATCGCAAGTTTGGCAGCGGCCCAGACAGCAGACGAAAGATGCAGACAGGAGGAGAGACAGGAGAGAAGCAGAGAGATGGCAGCACTGAAAGAGGCGAGAGAAGAAGCATACAGAGAGGTCACCCGACTTGTACAGGCTAAAACAGAGGCAGTCGCGGCTGAGATAGCTACCAAAACAGAGCGCGACCGGTTACAGAAAGAAAGAACGGCAGTCAGCATAACAACAAAGAACCTAAGTGTCAGCAGGACTGACAAAAGCACCCTCACAGACAAATCGACGCAGAAGGCGGATAAAGGCACAATCACCGAAGCAAAAGCAGAATGCAGAGACCAAGGCACAGAAACCAACAGCTCGGAACCAGGCTATGAATCTGAACAAAAAACCGACCAGATTAATTCCGATGAAGAGACAGAAACAGGCAATGAGGCGACAGCCGGTAAAGATGAAAGCGAGGCGACAACACTGTGTTCAGAAGCAGAAGAAATTGTAATCCCGAGGGACATAAGTGAGGCCGACCTGAGAAAGTTGGTAGAAATCAACAATAAACAAGTTCCCCCGCACAAGGTCATATTTGAGAGGGGCCGCTACTGCACCCAATTTGACAAGGAGATGTTTTCCAACGGTACACTCTTAGCCGATGAAGAAGGCAGGGCCTCTGTCAGAAAATTAAACCAATTCTTGGACAAGGTGATAGAAGCCCATGAACGGATAAAAGCGACCAAACGAAATCAAAGGAGGCAGGGTACACCAAACAGACGCCGCCAATATTAAACCAGATAAACCGCCCACAAACAGCCCGGCAGATGGACCAGCCAGACCGCAGAGCCAAGAAGCCATTAGCCAACCAGAACTGACCAAAGCCGCCATGACACCGACGGGACTCGTGGCGGTGGCAGTAGTCGCTGGAAAACCGCTGGAGAACCGCAAATTATGTCACGTGACTGTGACTCAAAAGGATATTTTGCGGCCGCCATCTTTAGTGCTCAAAGTTCGGAGGATAGCCATTATTTTTATCGTTACTATTATTATTATTATAATTTTACCTCATAAACTAGACAAACTAGACTTTACTATACTTTTTTCCTACAGTCTGGAAAAAAGCTAGGTTAATTTTCAAATATCTGCTTCGATAAAAAAAATTCCAACGCAAGAAAACTATATTAACAGGAAAGCTATGGTTCGTTTCAAAAGTCGTACCGAACTTTTAAAATCGGTAACTCAGTAACCTTTCGGTATAATTTAATGATATTTGGCATGTGACCTTAAAGGAAAATAATTGTGTAAACAAAAATGTAGTTTAAAAAGCTCTTTCCTTTTTTTTTGTTTTACCTTTTTGCATATTGCATTGCATACTTTATGCACTATTATAATCTCATTTACATCTTTATATCTCAGTTCATATGAGTTTCACTCTCGTGTGGTCAGTTTCCTGATTTAGCCTTCCTTGAATTAAATGAATTCAGTATTTCGTTTTATGTGGGATATGCTAGCAAAATAATCATCTAGCATCACTGGATGTATCAAATGATTTCCAAAACAATCCTCACGCTTCTGCTTTATTAAATTAGACGATTTTTGTCAATTACTGTATATCCTGGTTTTTTTTTTTTTTTTTTTTTTTTTTTTTTTTTTTTTTTTTTTTTTTTTCTTGAGATTTAAAACCATATGCAAAATATGTGTTGATCCATAGTAGGAGTTTTTGAGATATTTGTTAAAGTTTTAGGGAACGATTTTTGGAACAGACTATAGTAGCATGTGATGTTTAACTCACCTTCGCCGGAAGACTCCATCCTGGACGCTGTGTTGACTGTGTCACCAAAGAGACAGTAGCGTGGCATCTTAAGGCCGACAACACCCGCACATACTGGCCCTTAGGTAGTTAGAAAACAATGGAGCTTGGAGCAATACATATGGTATTATTTTCAGTCGATATCTTGTTACGGTTATAATGTTCAAGTTATAATTAAGAATGAAAAAAAAGTTTTTTTTTTTTTTTTTTGGATATAACGGGTTCAACAGGGTTTCTGTAATTTTTTAGTAACATTCCTTACTTAAGTCCTTTTCAGGACGTAATTTTTTCTTATTTGAAGCCCCACTCTGGCTTTTGCCAGGGGCCGCAATATAGGCAGGCCATCAATATGACCAATTGTCTGAACGCGGTTTCTGGGACCTCTCCACAGTGATCCTCATCCACATGGTGGCACTTTGTGTCATCGGGTGTTTATCGCTTGTGTGATGTCCTAGTGGGGTAGAAAGTCAGTCAGTCAGTTTCTGTAATTTGCTCATGCCGGATTTCATTCCAACTGTCCCCGTATGGGTTGTGGGGCCCTATTATAGGGAAAACAAGAATAGACCCATTGCCTAACAAAAAGCAAGTCTTGTAAAAGTTGACTAATTGATCAATTTCCTTCGAAGTTGGAGTGCATCTGCCTGAGAGGCAAGGAACCAACAGTCTTCACACAAATCTGTCAAACAGATGCACAGACAACACTCAGGTTCTGGAACAGTACTGCATTCCAGAAGTGGACGAAAAACCAGAACTTTCCACAAGAGTTTACAGCTGGTGAACGCAAAGAAGAAGAAGCTTCCAACAGCGACCCAATGAGGTACTGCGTACCAAGCTTTGAGGCAGCTTTTAGTTCACCCTATTTCAGGGACTACGAAATTTCGCGGGTGGTTCTCGGGAAAGTTCAAAAATTATTATGGGGGGATTTAGGGTTAGTGTAAGTGTTAGTCGGTGTTTATTTCACACCTAACACTATACAACTGGACTTTCCCGGAAACTCCCCTAGAAATATAGGATTCCCTGAGATGGGGTAAATTAAAAGAAAAAAAAATATTATCGACAACGACATGTACCTGAATGCAGTCCGACTCTTATTCGTAATTTCTCCCCAGGCATGTGGCGGATTCTGAATTCTCGAACTGTTTCCACTATCTGAAATCAATAAAGAAAACAAAATCATCCGCCGTCTAGGCAATGAAGGTTTCCTGTGGTGTACCCAGTGCGGTCTTTGGGAATATTAGGAGGAGACGGCACGATCTCTTCCGTGGTGAGGATGGAGGGTGGGGGGGGGGGGGGGTCTCCGTTGAGAAGTGGTCAAGCCGTTTGCTTTGCGCTTCGAAAGTCGTGGGTTTGTTTCATGGCGTCGCCGTTTAGGTAACGAGTGCAGTTGTTACGGAAAGCAATGGGGATCGCCGCCGAAGCTTCGGGGAACGTTCTATGTGCTACGTTGTCAGCTAGCTATTCTCCGGAGAGGGTCTGAGCTTTATGGAATAAAACCCGCTGCAATGAAGTCGAACCTCTCACCCTTACCTTTCTTTCACTGTGAGACTATCGTACTAATATTTGTGAGACAGAAGAGCTATCACTTTGTACTTAATTAAACCGTCCGTTGATAAGTAGACAGATAGGGGGATAAGCTGTACAGAGAGGCAGAACATAAATAGACCCACATGACATGAGAGACAGACAGACATTGAGACAGACACATACAGATAGAGTGCGACAGGCAGACAGTCATGTGGATACCAAACTGAAATGCAGAAAATAAATAGACTAAGAAGTCGTCTTTTAAAGAGACAGACAGACAGACAGACAGACAAAGTAATAGGGATACAATACAAAAGAATTAATAATAACAATAATGGTGATGATGACGATGATAATAATAATAACAATAATAAAATTGTGCGTGCAGTAATGATACAGATACTACAAATTGTTAGGCTGAGAAAAACACAGACAGACAGTCCGAAAGATGGACCTGCCTTACCTTAAGAGCCATATTTGCTATGTTAATGGCATGGAGATGGCCGTTTCTCTGCGGTAACCCAGACACAACCATGTAGGCGTCTCCGATTGTCTCCACCTGGGGAGGTGGGGGGGGGGGGAGACATTTATTCTTAAACAGCAGCTCAGTAATGTACAGGTTAACTGAAATTCAGAAGTGCACACATATATAAGGATAAATTTCAGTATATATTAAAGCATTTTAATAAAGTAGTAGATGTAAAACTATTTAAAAGATATACAGCGATGCATTTAAATAGAAAAAACTGTAAATATATACGAAAAGACACAGACATTAACGGTCGGCAAAGATGGCGGCCGCAAAATATCCAGCCGAGCCGCAGTCACGTGTCAATTGCGCGCTTCCGGCTACTTAATTTGCGGTCTTTCGGCGGTTTTCCGCCAACAACCGCTACCGCCACGTGGCCCCCTAGCCGCTCACGCGGCGTGGATTGGGGCTAAACTAGATGGCTAGGACTCACGAGCAGCAGCTTCCTCATTTCCTGCAGCCTTGCTTGTGAGTCCTAGCCATCTAGTTTAGACCCAATTCACGCCGCGTGAGCGGCGTGAGGGCCACGTGGCGATAGCCATAGTCGCCGGAAAAGCGCACATTAAGTAGCCGGATGCGAGCAATTGACACGTGACTGCGGCTCGGCTGGATATTTTGCGGCCGCCATCTTTGCCGACCGATAGTCGGAGGATAGCCGATATATCTAACATTGTCTGGAGAGGTAAATATATATTTACAAAAACGTGTCGTATTTCATAGGATAAACAGCATTCAACACCAGTGTTCTGTGCGGATCCCGACGTCGTGGCTTAAGGACCTGACAGAGCCATACTTTTGTTTAAAGTAGCCAGGTCGACGCACCCTTAAACGGGTACAAGGTAAAGTCCTGGAAAGTAAGGGGACCGGAATTATGTTGACGACATTACCCACCGATTGTTCTATAAACTAAAGGTCTAGCCCTATATGCCCTTTACGCCTGGAGGCGTAGGAAGGGGTCCTGTAGTTGTACAGATGTTCCGGAGATACAGGGAATGGCCGGAGGAGTTTCTTGGGGGATATAACCAGATAACAAGATGACAAGTGAAAATTTTCAGTCACATTAAAAAACATGTTTTTTTGTTTTGTTTTAAACCATACTGGAGGGAAAAGCTGAGGCAAGCAAGCAAGAAGCAGAAATCGATACAAGTGGGAGGATAGCATCAAGAGATGGACGAACAGAACAACGAAAGGGCCTACATCCAGAGTGAAAGACAGAGGGTTTTGGGGATCTTTTGCAGCACAACTTTATTGTGGAGACAGAATCGGATTGACTGAAAGTAGAAGTAGTTGATAAAAAATTTACAGTAAAGGTTAAAGTTTAAGATTATAATCAAGAGGATCGACATCAGATTGTATCCCACATGGTTCGGTCTCTCTTTGCAGAGCGGCTAGCCGCCTGCCGGGAGCGTCACACGGAGCACAAACTCTGTAGCTCCGACAACGATCTCCGGGGATCTTCGTAAAAATCGCATTTATGAATTGAACGGCGCACCGTGAAACGAACCCACCACCTTCAGAGCGCGAGGCAAACGGCTTGATCACTTTGCCACGGAGACCATAAACTACATGTGATACTGAAGCTCATAAAAAAAGGAGTGTATTCTTAGGTTAATTATTTTACACAACTCTGTAGCAGGAACTTCTGTTGTTTTACAAATACTAAGTAACGCCATACTATATATTAACATCTCCTCTGTGTTAGTAAGGCGGGGATTCTGCACCAAGCTTGTAGTTTTACTTGAAAAGGAGAACCTTCAAAGCTAAGGGAGACTAGTAATGAAATGCACATTCTCTCCTGTCATTTTTAAGTAATTCTCCTTACATTTTACAATGCACTGATAACAATGCAATATTACATGCTGCGAACTAACTATAATCAAACGCTTGCCTGCCGGCCCGAAGGTGTGGGTTCGAATTCTCTTAGGACTGGATAACTGACATAGGATGACTGCCCCTGCCAGCTTGCAAATAATGTCACTCCCACACCCCGTCGCCTTGACCCAGTTGACCGTTATGTTATAGAAATTAAAGAAAGTAAAAGAGGTCGGAGGTCATAGCCATACAGTTTAAAAAGTGCCCTGTAAAGGTGTTTTAGAGGTTAAGGGCTATACAGCTACCATTAATTACCTTGTACACGTCAAACTCTTCGATGATGGCGTCGAAACACGAGTACACGTCGTTGAGAAGGTCTACCACCTGTTGAGAGATATTATGCATGCAATGTTACTATGTTGGCTGAATGTTTAAACGAGGTTTAACATGATTAAAGACACCCCCACCCTCTCTCTCTCTCTCTCTCTCTCTCTCTCTCTCTCTCTCTCTCCCCACACACACACACACATACGCATACACACACACATAACACAGAACTGTGGTAAATACAGTGGCAACAATCAGGTTCCCTGTCACCAAGAAAACTTTGGTGAGCTCCGTTAGCGGGACTATACGTCCGATTTTTCACAAAGACTGTTACCTTTTGTTATGTGTACCCGCTCGGTACTTCACTGCCACCCCAACACCACCACACCCCCCCCCCCCCCCCACAAAAAAGCAGACAGTTATCCAGTTTTATACAAACCAAGGAACTTGGAGTATCCAGTTTCCAGCATAAAATATGTGTAGGATGTCTTGTTTTCAGCTCAAGATTTCCTGGTCACTCATCACCGCCCCCCCCCCCCCACACCCCAAAACCATGTCCTCCTTACCCCTTACAAATTCTCTAAGAAAGTGATTGGATTGAGCGCCCCCACCCCGCCCAATAAATAATGTTGTGCGAGGGCTAAGGAGGCCATCCTGTTACCATGTGTAAGAAATAAATTTTTTAGAGCATTCGTTTATACATTTTATTCTTTTTGCATTTCAGTTGGATTTATTCAGTTTTGTGCTTTATTTTACGTTGATGTAACTCTGTAGTAACGCACCTGACGAGATAACAGCGAAGTATGCCTGGCAATAAATTTTGCAATGTATTGTTTGTGTCCGCATTATTTATATACATTTTATATTATTTCACGTACATTGTTATATTTATTTGCTTTTCATCTCATTATTATAATAATATTTATGAGATGAATGGCAAATAAATACAGCAACCCAATTCAAATTGTATAAACTCCCTCTCCTAGCCTCAAACCCAGTAATTAAACACATTGCAGGAACTCAATCCAGCTTAGCCTCCAGGTTAGCGCGTCTATGGTAACAGTTTGGAAAAACAATGTTTATGGCTTTTTTTTTATACTGATGTTGAAGTTGATAAGGTCTGTTGATGTTTTATAAGTTGTCTATCCTAGTTAGTTAACGTTTAACGTCGATATATAGTTGTGTCTGTGGTATTTAGGGGTACCTCTCGATGTATAGTGGTACCTGTCTACATTTGGTGATAGTGATGGTTAGTAATTATGTAGCCCGGCTCGCTAGCGTAGTTGGCTAAAGCAGACTACGCCGGGTGACGAACTCCTTGTGGTCTGGGTTTACGTCCGGGGATAAGCAGAAAAGCAACATTTCTCCCAGATTTACGGTATTTATCATGGAATCAAGGCCGAAGGGTTGCGATATCCATAATACCATAATGATTTATGTCGATATTTAGCGTAGTTTGTCGATTGTTAGTAATGCATGTCAATATTTACGTTTGTCTTTTGATTTTTTTTTGGGTGATATCTGTTGACATTGTATGGCTTCTGTCGATATTTTGTGTTGGAAGTCGATAATGTGTTGTGTCTGTCGATATTGGGAGGTGTTCGTGGATATTTTGGTGATGTCTGTGGATATCTGGGGGGGAGGGGGGGGGCTCTGTGGCTAAGTTGATGCGAACGCTTTAAATGCCGGGGTGCCGGGTTCGATCCCAGCTGCGGGCCATGGCCCTGCGTTGGTTTCGACAGTGGTATCAAGAAAGCCGACCGTTCAGATGGCAATGGCAAACTACTGGACGTAAATTTGCCGAGAAAAACCACACAAAAGCCAGAGGCTGTCGGGGTTGGTTCTGCAACGTCCTGTAAAGGATACGCAACTAACTAACCAACTGTGGATATTTAGCGATGTTTGTCAATATAGCCAAATACCCACATCTTTGCTGGAAACAGGGGCAACTTACCTCCATGGGAGACGACACCGCTGAGATCTCTGTAAAGCCTACAATATCACTGAAGTAGATGGAAACCCCTTCATAAACCTGCGGCTCCACTCTAAGCCCGGACTTAAGTCTGTCTGCCACACTCCTGGATCCAATAACAGAATAAATGTTAGCAAGAAAATACAGTCTGGTGCGAGTACTGGAATTAGTCAGTGATTGCAAGGCACAGGACAATTTTAAAATAATCTGTTTTATTTAAATTAGATCAGGGATAGATTAGGGATTAGACTAGGAATAGATGTCAAACCTGTTAGTCTCTAGAGACAGACCGAGAGGGGGGTAGGAGAAGAAAGAAAGAGAGATAGAAAAGAGAGGAGAAAAAGAGTGTGAGATAAGAGGAAGATAATAAGCATAGTAATAACAAGGAGATAAGAGAGATAGTGGAAGGGTGTATGTGAAAGAGAGAGAGATCAAGAAAGAGAGAGAGAACAATTCATAATTCACCTTTAAACATAAAAATCTGTGGCCTCCATAAAAAAAAAAATTAAGAGATCGTTTTCTTCTTTTAGCATTCATCGGCTGCAAACTCAGACTGAAACCTTTTCTTGTTCTTCCACTTCTCAAATATGATCTTGTCCTAGGACGATTTTTGCTTGTGCATCTTTTTTTTTTTTTTTACAGATCTGGCTTATCTGAATGTAGAGTGTTGGTTCCTAGTCTCTCGGGCTGATTTACGACTTCGAAAGAAACACCCATAATTCGTCGTTTACAATATGCCTGTTGAGGGAACAGTCTACACCCTCCTCCTCCCCCAATTTCCCGGGTTTCTTTTTTTTTTCTGGAATGGTTCCCTAGAATCTACACATGGAGAATTAACAGATAATATTCACTCCTATTTTCTGCACAAACACTATGGTTATTATCCTGGGGTTGTGTTTTTGTTTCCTTATTATACATGAACCGTATAAAGTCACACACACAAAACCCAGTTTTATTATTGGGTAGGATATTTCTTACGTCCTTCTTAGGACGTTATTTTTTGTTATTTGAAGCCACACTCTGGCTTTTGCCAGGGGCCGCAATATAGGCAGGTCATCATTATGGCCAAATGTCTGAACGCGGTTTCTGGGACCTCTCCACGGTGATCCTCATCCGCATGGTGGCACTTTGTGTCATCGGGTGTTTATCGCTTGTGTGATGTCCTGGTGGGGTAAAAAGCCAATCCAATCCACCCAGTTTTATATTAACCCTAATGCTATATTAACACAACTAAAACAGCGCCCAAAAACCACACATAGAGATTTATGAGATAATATTCAGTTCTATCGTTAATTTTTTGCATTTTTCATCCAATCTTGGCATCCTGTTATCCCAGAGTTTTGTCCCTTAGTCTATAATGAAACGTGGAAAGTGGAATGGAAACCTTTGTTATATTAACAACCATTTTCATGATACCACTAACACTTACCTTGGTAAGATCTGGTATAAGAGCTCTTCAGACTTCTTCTTTTCCTCCCTTAACTCGACTGTCTTCTCTTCGACCATCTTCTCCAGGTTGTTGGCGTACTGCTCCATCCTCCTCATCAGATTGTCCATCAAACTACCACTGTCTCCTAGGGACCTGGCGGCAAGGTCAACAACCACACATTACTTTCCACATCATCAAACAGGACCCCGGAACTGCACAAGGGAAAGTCCTTTATTTGACAACCTATACCCTGACCTGTCATGTTGCCAGCAGTGTAACTTTTGTGTGTTCAGTCGGAAATATACGTTTCTCTACCTCACAAAGATGACACATCGGCGTTAGAGTCGCCTACCTGCTGGCGAGTAGACGACTTTAAATATTCCTTACGTCCTTTTTTAGGACGTAATTTTTTTGTTATTTAAAGCCCCACTCTGGCTTTTGCCAGGGGCCGCAATATAGGCAGGCCATAAATATGGCCAATTGTCTGAACACGGTTTCTGGGACCTCTCCACGGTGATCCTCACCCACATGGTGGCACTTTGTGTCTTCGGGTGTTTATCGCTTGTGTGATGTTCTAGTGGGGTAGAAAGTCAGTCAGTAAGTAGACGACTTATTAGTCGGTCAGGAGAGTATACAGGTCTGTCTCCTTTGATTGCTTCAACAATGCAAGAGTTATCTTCAGGGCTACTTGGTGGAGAGCAATGTAAAGCCATTTTATATGGCACACATAAACCTAGGTCACAATTATAACAAAACCTCCCCCTTCGGGTATGCTGGCTGAAGGTGACGACTTCTGTGTGTGTGAAACAAGGCAAGACAAAGATGAAACATCGGTGAGGCCTTGTGTGAAAATGAATGCGAAGAAAAATGTAAATGTAACTTTAAACAATTCGGCGGATAGCTTGTATTATGGTAATATATACAGAGGACCATTAATATCAGTCTGAGAAAACACTGGAGGGCTGGCACCTTTCCGTCGTTTTGGACAACAGTGTTAAATTATAATAGAGGGATGGGATGGGAGTCATGGCACATGGGGTCAGGAAATTAAGACGAGGGAAAAAGTTCTCTAGCACAAAGATAGGACAGTGGTGTGATGACCATGCAGCATGATCCTAGCCTACATTGTTTACTGTAAAAGACAGGTAACATCAATATGGTTTGAACAAATTATGCACCCAGAGTTTATGAGAGTAAATATTACGGTCATCTCACTAACTATTTTAATTCCAGGGGGGTTCTCGCATCGCATGCCCAAGAGCATGCATAACAGTGAAAAGTCACGAAGGCATAACTTCCTAACTGGTAAACTAGACAGCTAATGTAGCCAATGGGGGCGTTAGGTTTCTTTAGTGTGTTCTGACAACTAGTAAAATGGGGATGAACACATTAGGCGGTAGCTGGGATTCATGCTGAAAAGTGTATTATGCATGGGACTGAAAGAGTTAACGAAGGTAAATCTAAACTGCACCCCGACTCAGTGGATGACGTTCAACCATACAATAGCATAATAACAGAGGCAGTTATCAGGTTCAAGCCCACGGTATGGGTTAACAGTTCCACAATTGAGCCGATCAGAGCGTCCACTTGTCCCAGCAATCAGAAGTCGCTGTGATAGGTCAAGGTAATTACCGGAAGGGAAAGTCAAGGGTAATTTACCACTTTATTTCCCCATGTTTCATATATCTAAATAAAGCACTCAGACGTCGACGTTAATGGAGAAGTTGAACAAACCAAACAATCATTATCATTTCCATCATCATCACTATGTGTCCGATCTTTTAAACGATGTCCTCTTACTGCAGCCTGTGTGAAGAAAACTCAGTCCTTCGCTAGCTGCCCCGATCATGCATATTTCTTTCCATGGGAGTTGTTCTTCTGCGTGTCCATCTTTGGGCTGAGTGGTCCTGCCTCTCTTCTTCTGTACCATACTATCCATTTCTGTTCTTTCTAAGTCGTTGTACCTCTTAATATTGCTAAACGAGCTTTAACCACAATCATGAAAGACAAAATGGACATTTCTTGAAGAAAGCTTTCAACAGTGTACACACAAACGGACAATGATGTAATTAAAGGTTAAATTCTTGGCAGCGAATTTTATCACAAATAGCTTAATCTCTCTTCAGAAAGCTAGCCGCCTGTCGAAATCCCACATACGACACGAATACCTTAGTTCCGGAAACGATTTCCATGGTTCTTTAAAAAAAAAAAACTGCACTCGTAAACCGGATCCAAGACGTTTAGAGCACAATGCAAGCGGTTTTACCATTTTCCCACGGAGAGAATCACTCACCTTCAGGGTAAGCAAGTATACCACAAGTTCTCCACCCACGCTTGAACATAAGAGCCTCTGCGTTCACGTGAATGCACATCTTGTCGTCATTACACCCGTGAACTGAACGTCGCAGCCGTAAATCGAACCCACGACCTTCAAAGTGGGAAGCAAACGGCTTGATCACTTCACCATGGAGACCTCCTGTTGAAAAGCTTGACTTGTTCGACTTCTCGTTTGGATTGAAATTTGTTTCCATGATAATGATATGGCCAAGATGTTTTGAAACTGACTCATGAAGAGAACTTATTGTCCGCAACAGAAGACAATCTACATTCTTTGGCCATGTCATGAGAAGGAGACAACTGGAATACATCGTGACGGTGGCAAAACTGGAGGGTAAAGGAGACAGAGGGAGACCGAAATAGAAGAGGCTTAACAGTTTGACACCACGGCATGGAAGATCATTTATTTCAGAAATGATTAATAAAAGTACACGAGACAGAAAGTTGTGGATAAACGTGACTACCATCGCCACACAACATGCGCTACAAGAAGAATATACGGCCACACACTTCAGTTTCTAAGATCAGATGCTGCTTAGGAGTCAACGCAACGAACGAGCGAACGAAAACGCTTTGTTTTCAAAGGTTTAAGAATTGGGCACGCAGGCCTGTCTAACATTTTGCTCTTCCACTCCAGTTCTTGCATACGTGCAAATTACTGTCTGCAGTATGTCCTTGCATCTTGTTAAATGCATACTACAGTGGAGCAAAAGTCCAACTTTTGTATAGACCAATCAGCACCTTGTGGGTGAGGTAGTCAGCATCATGCTAGCCGCCTTTACTTCCCAGGACTGCGCCTGGTACCCAATCAAAGCTGGGTCAACCTGGGAGTCGTGGTCATTTTTAAAAAGAAGTCTAGCTCCGTGTTGTAATCTTATTTGGCCGAGAGTTAAAGTTTCTTCTAGTGGTAACAGCACAGTTGAAGGTTCACACAGCGGCCACGGGTCGTTACCTAGGATACGAGCTAATGGAATTCTGGGCGTAGAACACAAAGGCCCAGGGAGTTTAGATATTTCCCTTGTCCAAGTGAGACGTGTTTCCGCGGGGTTAGCGGAAACATTGTGTTGGGCTTTCTGAATGAGAATATTATAAAACGTTTCTCTTTGTGAGGTTTTGATTTACCGTTGTTTGCGGGAGACAGTTTAATGTCTGTTTAGTTATTATAATGGCAGGAGTCCATTGAGAAAAGATTGTAATCTTTTATATCATCAGATTAGATAATAGAGATTTATTATCGTACATGTTTTATTGAATAATCATCATCATCTTGTGACGTTTAATGTTAATGACATTAAAGTTTATGTGGCCTGTCACAAGCGTTATTGTTGACTCGTAAAGATAACAACTGTATTAGATGATGCTGTGCCAAGTGTGCCAGTTATAGTATCCATCAAGGAGATATCCAGCGAAATATTAAAATAGGCACCCTAGGCCTAAATACTTGGTTACTGATACTAAGTAGTATCAGTGCGTAAACATACGTGTTGAATATACAGTGTACAACAACAGAGTGTACAACACTCCGTCAGTACGCGAACTCACAACCTTCCGATTGGTAGGCGGGCTTCTAGCCGCCAACGCCATGGCGATAAATGCACAATACAGTAACCACCAATTACAAAAACATTGTGCAGTGTGTGGTTTCTGTATTCATTATTCAAATTAACAACTGTGAAATGTATCTAGCTTTTTTTTTTTTTTTAATGGAGAGGTTAACAGAATTGCGGAGACTGCTGATTTATTTTAATATTGATTGTTTATAATATAACTTATTTCCACCCTATTTCACTTTAATAGGTTTTATTGTGATGACGTCTGGAATTTCCTAAACCTAATAATACAGCAAACAAAACAAAAATAATACCAACACATACCCACATATCCGCCTAATGGAGTTTTTCACAGACTGACATGTTGGTCGACATTTGGGATCCTCGGCCCAGCAGGCCTGTATGAGTTCACTGAAGTGTTGCATGGCAGCGGGAAGTTCCATTGAGGGCCGGAAAGGAGGGCTGCCCCCATCTTTGACTTTCTGTATAATTTCTGAAATTCATTGTAAAGTCATAGACACAGCAATCAAATTGCATGTGCAATCATTCGTTGAATGAAATGGCAAACAACTGAAAATGTAACATCAATATTTGGCAAATGTTCTATTATTGATCCAAGGCAGAGAGAGAGAGAGCTGCTTTTGCCCTTAAATCGGCGGTCAGAGCGATACAGTGTCATTTACCGCTAGGCTGCGACATCTGCGCCTTTCGGCACAACATATCGACTTCTTTGACATGCCTGTTAGGGGACAGTGAGATACCCTCCCCCACCTCACCCCCCCCCTCCCAATATTTTAACGGGTTTTAAAACCCTACACACAGGATACTTATTCAACAAAAAGTGGGTCTGACAGCACCTAAATAGGTCTCATAAACATGTAAAAAAGGTAAAGTAAAGGACAGTTTTCATGCTGTTGGCGTATGTGTCAAACAGTGCGAGCCTAATTTTATATAGACTAACTGTCGGCGTCTGTGGCTTAGACGTTGCGAACGCGCTTCGTAATGCCGGGGTGCCGGGTTCGATCCCAGCTGCGGGTCTTGTGCCTTGCTTTGGTTTCGACAGTGTTATCGAGAAGCGGATCGTCCAGAAAGCAGCAGCAAACTACTGGACATAAATTTGACATGAGAAATAACCGTAACCAAAAAATGCTGATGTTGACTCTGCAACGTCCTGTAAAGCAGCGGTTCTTAAACGGGTTGCCGCGGCAGTAATCAAGAAATGTCCGCTAAACATTGTGAAGTTATTAAAGAAGGCAAGTAGATGCTTGAAAATTAAAAATTTAAGTTGTTTCCCCTCAACACTGTTGATAAAAAATTGGACTCTCCTGTCAACTCAGGCCGTTAGCTGGAAAGCCGCCGATCGCTTAGTGGGAGTTCTCTCCCTTGGCTGCATTGCAAACACGGAGCGGAAAAGTCACGAATCAAATGACATACTTACCTATCATCATACGGTTGCGTGTATTGTTTGTTTCACGCTCAGACGTGTTTCATACTGCATTAAATGGCAACCGCAGAGTGCTAAGAATTGTCTTAGTATTTATCTCGAAGGTGCGACTGGTCCTATTCCTGCACTAGTTCAGTTGCAGTCGATAAGTAAAGTTGTAGTTACATTGTCTCAGCAAACATCTGCGAGTCTAAGCCATCCAAGCTGGTCTGTCTCATTTCGCAGAAAGGCAACTCACGACCAAAGAAAACTAAGAAAATGTTATCCTAGCTAACTCTGTGTTTGGCTGTGCTTCGGACAGGCACGGAAAGAGCAATGAGTTAACTATCATACAGTTGTTACTAACAGCTGTTTGGTTCTGTTTAAATTAAAGAGTCATCTGAAATGCAGTCATTTTGATTTAGTAGATAAAGGTCGAGAATTCTTCGAAAGCAGCGCTGTATCTCTTCAGGCAGGGTCATTTATGATATAGAAATTTTCTAAAAATGAAAAGGATATCATAAAAAATTTCCCCAAACAGTTTAATTCATCGCATTAAAAACAACTGAACATTAAATTTGTACTGTTTTCTCACCCTAAGTATTCCACCGCTTTAAGGGTAAGTGTACCGTGAAAATTTTTTAGCCCGACAATGGTGCCTAGGTGAAAGACAAAAGTTTGAGAATCGCTACTGTGAAGCATACGCAAATAATTTAGAACTAGCACTTGGTAGGTAATATAGTCAACGCCAGGTCATTAAAAAAAAAAATCGTGATGTCATAAAGGTTTCATGAAGAGGAAAGTTAGAACGTCAGAGGCCAGTTAGGAAAGATTAATTACAAGGAGAGACTGCTCCACGAGAAAGTGTGTGGGAATGTGAAACGGGAGTTTCACGAAGTAAGTGAACTGTGGTCGAAAGGGAATAAACTGAGGCGACAGAGGGGGAAAAAAGGCAAAGGCATTCAATGCCAGACCAGCATTAGAGAAGGTTTTCGTGTGACTGAATACTTGGAGTCAAAGGACTGTCGTGTTTCCGAATACCTGGACAATGGAAATAATCAACAATTAACATCTGCCAACTTGTCTACGGGGTAAACGTAACGCAAATCTCCCCCAAACAGAGTTAGCCCCGCTTATACACACTTGGTCACTTCTGATTGGTAGTTCTTGAGCCTAATCTCCTTCGCACAAGGTTACAAGGGATACCGTTGATATCGCGTGTTGTATATTTTAGCACGCCAGCGCTTTTAACGTTCCGAAAACATGGAGCACTGACCCTAACAGGCATTCTCTTTCTCGAATAGCATAGCAGAAGTTATTTATTTTATCACCCCCTACTACGATCCCTATCATGCATTCTGTAAATTTAATTATATTGCCCACTATGTATAATGTTCACAAATCAATATATAATATAGTCTTGTAGGAGCTACCGTGTTTGGCACGGAAATAGCTGTATCTGTTTGTTAATGCAAATAGCTGCTTTAAAAATAAACGGTTATATGTTGTATATTATTAGCTGATCCTTGATATCAGTTAACAGATACACAATCAGCTGGAATAGGATGATACACAGACAAACGGATGGACGGACAGACGGGCAGACAAACTGACCGACCGATCGACAGACAGACAGATTAAGAAGGAATAGAAAGATAGGCAGACGAATTTCACAATATCGATAGACAGACATAAATACAGATTAGACAGATTAGAAAAGGTAGGTAGGTGTGCAGGTAAATGGATATTTAGACAGACTGATTGACTGACAGACTGACTGATTCACTGATTGACTGATTGGAAAAGACAGTAGAGAGAAGTTTAAAAAAAAAAAGATGTAAAAGGAAAGCAACTGATAAAGAATTAAACCGAGATAGATAGATAGATAGAGAGAGAGAGAGAGAGAGAGAGAGAGAGAGAGAGAGAGAGAGAGAGAGAGAGAGAGACGCTGTAGAATAAGAGGCAGTGATTACATAAAGATAGGAAGTATAGATGTGTAGGGGTAAACCGACGTAAGTGGAAAGACCGGTAGAGCAAGAGAACGATGTAGATAAAACAAATGAGAGAGGGAGAGAGACGTGGTGTAGAGAGAGGGAGGGAGAAACATATAAATAGAGAGAGAGAGAGAGAGAGAGAGAGAGAAAGAAGAGAGTTAACCTACCATCTGTGGACATATAGACACTTTCTGCAGCAAATGGAGCGTCTCTGGCTACAAGTTCCTGAAGAATGATTCCAAAGCTGTAGATATCACCTTCCATTGTTCCAACACAGACCTCGGCACTTCTGAGAATCTCCGGAGCTTTCCACAAACAGTCTGTAACATTTAAAACACGAGATATATAAATACAGGCAGCCGCTAATTGGTCTAGCACTTTATGTCGAATACGCTGGAAAACGCCGAAAAGGGTCCTTAACTTTACTTTCTATATGAATAGAAAGTGTTAAAAGACGATGTGATTATACAAAACGCGTATACATACAAGTTAAAAATAATAACATTTATAATTATAATAATGATTTTTTTTAGCAGATAGCAAAGCCCTAGGTCAGGGTACACATTTTGCCACAATACATTTCTGACAAAGTTGGCGGACATTGTTGACAAAGCCAGGATGATGGCCAATACGAGCGATAGTCTAAACGTCCCTCCCATGCGCTTCTCAAGGCTGGGTAGATTTCTAAAAGTAACAGAGCAAAGTCGTATACGCTCCATCAAACTCGACTCTGCGAGAGACTGGTTACTGGCGGTCGACCTGTCTGGCTTTGAAAAAATACCCCGAAGCAGTCCAAAAGACTGGCCTAAGACCAGACATGGTTTTGCAGTCCACGACAGAACGCCAGTTCATCATTATAAAGCTCAGCGTACCGTTCGAGTCACGATTTGAAAATAACTACCTGTTTTTAAGTTAGTTGCGTATCTTTTACAGGACGTTGCAGAACCAACCCTAACAGCCCCTGACTGTACAAACTCGAAAAGTACAGACAACTGGTGGCAAGTCTGAGGGGCGACATGGGGTACGCATTAAAACAATTCGCCGTCGGGGTAGGTGCAAAAAGGTTAATCTCCATTCTTTGCCTAATGCGCAGGTATCGGCAAACTGGGAACGACGAAATGTTATGGGATGTAAAGGCGGCGATGACAGTAGTGATCTCACCAGCCATGGTTGTCAGTTGGTCTATAAAAAATTGATACTGGCATATATTTACTTCCTTTTGTCCTGTCACGTGGATTGTGATAAATATAATGGTAGTTAGTTTAATGATTAGTTAGTAATGTTGAGATCATTGCACTACAGACATGTCTATAGGTGCTCAGGCCCTCCTATTAGTATGAACCCTAGTGTCTGGTGGCTAATAGTACTAGTTCTATGTTAATTAACAATTCCTCTCATGTGCTTTGCTGGCGTCACGTTTATCGCTAGGCAGATCTAAACTCCCAAGCTATCATTCTGGCCAGTGATGTGGATTCACTGCCCCCAAAGTCATCCACCTTTTAAATGTTTGGAGGGCATTAATAATATCAGCATGATCAATAGGTTGACCATGGGTAGTGATAACGGATCTAGCTAACCTTTCATCCCTTTCATTCACAACGATGCCTGCGTGTCCCGCAACAACAATAAAAGTGACCCCATGCACAGTGGACTCAGGCCACTGCCATCGCACCAATCCTACCTGAAACCTTTGGATATAATTCACTGAATCACTGAGTACGCATGCGCGGGTGTATTTTTTGGGGGTCGGACCATGCGAACGCTTGCGGTACTGCTATTACCTCCATCGTCGTGCTACTATTTGTCATGGACAAAGCGCCTTGCCTTCTTTGACTTTTCTGCTCCCCTAAGCGTGATGTGACCGCCCATGCGCTTCCTTGTTGGCGTATAACGGATCCGTCTGCAGTTCAGTACATCTGCCTCGTCTGAATTTTTATTGATGAGAGCGCTGACCTCTGCATTGACAGCAATAGAATTCTGCTCCCTGCATCGCCTGTCGAGTGTGGCAATATGAGAAAATGTACAAATAAACGCATAAGGCACTGGTATCCACTTTACACCAGGGGTGATGTCAGTTAGGCTGTATATTTGCTTGATAACATCTTCTGCCTGACCTAGCCATGAGTTTCCCCTCTTCAGCCTGTCGCCCTTTTCGCTGAAAAGCGCTTGATGCAGTGGGTGTTTTTTTTTTTTTTTATCAGCGCATGCTTTAATGTACGCCCGAGCCCTCCAACTATCATAATGTAACATAAATTAATTACGACATAATAATAAGAAGAACTCCACAAGGGGATCATGCACAGCGCGAGTCTACTGATCTTCGGTAGGTGGTCCATTTTCAACAATTGTTTCGGCCCCATTATCCATCCTAGACAACCTCGAGGGTTGGGCTGACCTGGGCATGACGCCAGGCCTCGGACTTCTGCTGCGCGTAAAGGACAAGACGAAATGGTGGTTTTGCAACCGGTGCTGAGGTTGTGGTGTTATATATATCGATGTTGAGCTAAAACATTTTGCACCTCACTTGCAAGACCTGAGGGACAAATGGACGGTTGGTTTATCGGACAAACGTTAATGGGACAGACTTTGGCAGTTGGCCGGGTAACACATGCAGACGTTGATAGGACAACTTTGGCTTTAGTGACTTAACAGTACTTCTCCACTAGCGGCTCAGACTAGCCTACAGAAGTATATTCCCGCTTCGTTCCGTTGCGTCCACAGCCAGCTCGAAGCTCTTTCTGCAACTTCACCTAATTGTTTCAGTGCCTGTTTGCGCTCGTTTCCTCCCAAGCCCATCTGCTTTAATTCATTGTATGTCCCAGTCGGCACTTGAATAATGTATTCAACATCAAAAGAGCCGTCTTTATTTCCCAGGAACGATTCCTTGTACTTATTTTTTGGCTGGGATTCAAACCGAACACTCCGGTAGACAGTTAAACATCTAGGACCTGTTTCATATGTATCGGGCAGCCACACAAATCGGTACTTGGTGGATGATGTAGTCAACGTTACGCCGGCCGCTTTTACTTCCAAGGATTTTCCTAGTACCCTTTCGAGACTGGGTCAACCTGAGACCCGAGTCTAGTTCCGTGCTGACTCGAACCTACGACCTTCCGATCGGCAGGCAAACATTTAACCGCTACATTACAGCAACTCTCAATAATCAATAAAGAGAAAGCAATTTTCGAAATGCACTTATGTATGACATTGCGCAGTAAATACATTCACTTTGTTAATCATTCAATTCAACTGCGATGTCACAGTTAAACGCATGACCTGAATTAAACACATGACAACAGATTATTCTTACCATGCTGAAATTCCTGACTACTGACATCCACAAGTAGGCTGCTGTACATGGTCGGAAGTCCGAAATCCGTTAATTTGACTGAAAATCGATTGTCGATTAGACAGACGTTGCTGGTGAGTCGTCCGTGTTGATGTATTGGGCACTCGTGGAGGTAACAGAGTCCCTGAAACACACATCCATTTATCATTTGTGTAATGGCTGGGAGTGTGCCTTAATGAAAGAGAAGAGCCTTTTGTTCGCCTGTGGCGCATCCGGTATACGATGGTTGACTCATATTATTATTGACTGACCGGCAGTCGGTGGGTATTGTGGTCAACATCACACAGGTAGCCTTTATTTTCCAGGATATTACCTTCTACCCATTTTAGGCTGCGTCAGCCTACTAGCCAATGCAAGTTTTGAAACAATCCCTTACGATTCGGACTGGAACCCAAGACGGTTACGTTTCTTAGCCACAATTCAGTGCATTGATTTCTTGTTATGTGACTGTGGTTCTATTCTTGTGTGCTCCTAAAATGGAGCCGCGGAGCCCATTAGTACATTCTAGTGATTCGGTAATTTCAAACCTGGTCCCATCATTAAAGTCTCATAAAGAAACATAAAGTAACATAGAATAAACAAATACCTACATAAATTAATGATGAGTAACATAATGTACATGAAATAAGAAAATTGAAAGCAAACCAAAATGGCGTAATAAATATAGAAGTAAGCAAGATACAGTCTCGATTTTAGGAAAAACAAACACACTGACAGTACATTAAGATTAAGTAAAGTAATTTTTTTTTTTAAACCATCATCGTCATCATGGAGAATGGGCTTTGCAGAACGTCGCTCTCATCACAGTCTGCCTGAAAGAAACTCGGTCTCTCGCCAGCTCTCCCGCCTTATGTACTTTTATATTCAAGGAGTCATTAATATCCTGTGGTCATCTTCGTGTTGGTCGGTCCCTGCTACTCCTTTCTGGTGCCATGCCTTCTGCTATTATTTTTTCCAGACCGCTTTGTCGCTTGATGTGACCAAAATATTTCAGCTTTTGCAGCTTTTAAAACGAGATGCTGTTTATTAGCAAATCTTCATTAAAGTTCAGGTCCTTTAGATCAGTATTTCTCCTCTTCTATGTCCAAGACATTCTGAGAATCTTTCTATAGCATTTTAGCTCAAAAGCCCCTATTTTCTTTCCTAAGGACTGAAAGATAGTCCACGAATCACATCCGTATGTTGCTACTTTTAAACCATCAAAGTAAAATATAGTTAATTAGAAAAGAAAAATAAAAGAAAATCATACAGTAAATTTAAAAAAAAAAAAAAAAAAAACATAAAGTGAAGAAAAAACATACAGTCAGACAAAGAAATAAAATAAAAATAAAAAAAAACAAACATCAAATAGTTTAAGATTTAAAAAAAAAAACCAAAACACATAAAAGTAAAATAGAGTAAACAAATGTAGACAAAATGATATAAACGCACTTGTGAATGATAATATATACCAAAACTAATGGTTGTTAAAAATATAATATAAATAAAACATAACATTAGTGACGTTGATGGTGGAGACAACCAAATGACAACACTTGCTCATTATGATGACTAGAGAGGACGGCTCTTAATTGATAACACTATTAGAGTTACTTTAACTACATAAGTTACACAATTACAGCTTGTAACGAAACCTGGAAACATCTAGCACATTTATTTTATAGGGCGTTGCAACACTTTCAGCACAAAAGTTTTGATCTTATTCAGAATTTACATAAAACACAAGAAACAAGTGTTTTGTGAAAGCTCGATTGGTTACATTTGAACTTGGTGCTGTATAACTCTTGAAGGGCGATCCGGCAAGGATCATCATTTATTTATTTACTTCGCAAAAATACAAATGTATATCGATATGATTTTTGAACATGGCACGAATTTCTAAACACACTTTAGCTCATGTTTAGAGTGTAAACTGTAAAAAACGCGCAGATGATAACATTAGTTTACGTCAATGACATAAAAGAACAAAGAGTCGATGACATTAGCTCACACTTGTGATGTTAAAAAAAAAAACACATACACACACACACACATAGACACACGCGTATACATGTATTATATATATATATATATATATATATATATATATATATATATATATATATATATATATATATATATATATATAAGATTAGCTCACTTTCGTGTTAATAAAAAAACAATTACACAAAAAAAATATTTGCTTACATTGATGATGTCTGTACACAGAGAAAACTTGAACTGGGTGTCCAAGTTTATGTTCACATTCCAGATGAGGTCCTGGAGACAAACAAAAAAAAAGAGACAGCTGAATGGACATGTGACTGACCGAAGAAAAAAACACCCGTTAGCGTCTGTATTTACTACTTATAGAACTGTGTATGGCGGTGTGTGTGTGTTTGTGTGAGTGAGTGGGTATGTGTGTGTGTGTGTGTGTGGGGGGGGGGGGGGTTGCCGGGTGGGGAAAAAAGGGGTTCTTGAGCCATAAGAGTTAGGGCCACATGTGGTTTAGTCGCCAAGAAACTGTGCTTGTCAGAATGTTTCTCTGCCCAGCTAGAACAACAATCTGCTATCTTAGGCATATGTACTGCCACTCTAGTCGGCTCTGTGGCTAAGTCGATGCGAACACTTCGCTTCGTAATGCCGGGATGCCGGGTTCGATTCCAGCTGCGGGCAATGCGCCTTGCGTTGGTTTCGACAGTGGTATCAAGAAAGCCGACCGTCCAGCAAGCAATGGCAAACTACTGGACGTAAAATTGCCTAGAGAAACCACACAACAGCCAAGGGCTGTTAGGGTTGGTTCTGCAACGTCCTGTAAAGGATACGCAACAACCTTAAAAAAACTGCCACTCTGTTTCCAAGCTGTCTGTCAGTTCTATCAATGTAATGTAACTGGCATTTACGAGCAGTTGGATTTGTTGTAAGGAGACAGTAGTGCTTAAACAGATCGTGTTGGGGTGGAAGAATTATTGTACCTAACCACCAACAATGCGAAACAGAACATTTAGCAAACAGCTTTTTTAAGTCGTTTGCATTTGTCGTCCCCTCGATATACCGTGTTCCAAAAACATACTCGTTAAGCGAAACACTCGTTATGCGAAATAATTTTTCTCAGATAAACTAATGTAAAATTCGATAATGCGTTCCATGTTGAAAAAAAATGCTATGTATAACGTTTATTCAAAGAAAATTATATACATATTGTTAAGGAGAGCGAATCATCTTCATCTTTTCTTCAAACGCGGAACGAACGCGCCTGGAATGCGAATTCGATTTGCAGAAACATAATTATGATACATAGCTAATTATTTTTTTTTTACTTGAAAGATGCCCAGAGACATTTGTTTTTGCCGACGCTTCAACATTTAGCGAAAATGCTTAGGTCAGCTATGTTAAACGGATGTGCACACAGCATTATCAATAAATAAATTTGCAACTCACATAGCCACTTTCTTATTAGGGTGACGCTTCTTAATATAATATGCAACAGTTTGCCATGCTTTCAGTATTTCCCTTATTTCGCCAGAAGATTGTTGCTTTTCAGTTACTTCCTCCACTGACAAACTTTTCCACAAAACTTCTTGCTGTGAAACACAATGCAACTACACGGAGTGGTGGTGTTGGGAGGCAGAAACTGGATCTTGAT